TAGAAATCTGAGAAGAAACAGCATATCAACCTGTTTACCTCAACAAGTTCAAAGAAAGAAAGAAACAATTTGGCAAAAGGCGACTTCCCGCAAGAAAACAGGCTCAAGCGCTCGCCGAAATCTTATAGTCTGCGCAATGGCTGTCAAGAGAGTGAAGAAACCGATGAAGAAGAAAGCTGCAACTACAGGTGCAAAACTTGGACAAGCTATTCCTTTACATGGAGCGCTTTGGAAACAATGGTGCCAACATCTCCTTCGAATCGGGCCCAGCTGGCTCTATGTGGTCGTCATGCTCAGCCATATGCTTTGCTGCAGGGTTTCTGAAGTACTAGCCTTGACCGCAGATGACTTCAATTTGCGCCACCGATTTGTGAGGATCAAACCGTTGAAGCGTCAGCCAGAGGCCAAGGGTTGTTCAAAGGTTGCGTTTTAACAGAAATGTTTGCGCTTTGCGTTTGTCGCTTTAACCCGAAGATTAAACATGTGGACACACCGTGTGCAGGTGAAGAAATGCCTATTGACACCAGTGCTCTCAAAACTGCAGTCTTTGAAGAAGAAGGGTGTGAAGCGCAAACGCACAAGGAATTGTGGAGCAAGGGGCTCGGTGACCTTTGTTGACCATTGGGAGTGGCCAAAACCTGGCGCATACTTGTTTCCTTCACAGAGAACGAGCGGCCGCATGAAAAAGGACGCTGTTTGTCACAGCATCGTGAAGGCAAGAAAGTCTTTCGACAGGGACATCGACACCACCAAAGTCAGAAGCCACTCTGGTCGCCACAGAATGATAAATGATATGAAATCATCTTCCATTCCACCTGAGGCTGGAATGATGTTTGCGAGGATCAAGGACAAAAAACCCTGGGCGTCCTATGGGCAGTTGAGTCCTTCTCAATGCCGGGAAGTGTTGCAGAAAAACCAATGCCTGCAGAAAAAATGCAGAAGGTGTACAAATGAGCACTGTTCGAACTTTCACAGCGACCTTGAAAAAGACTTGCGGTGCGGTGCTGGTGCGCGCTTCCATGAGCCATTTAGATGTGAAGAGACTCCTCCGCTGATTGCGCTGCTACATGTTCATTACTTATTACGCAACAGAAACTAGACGACGAGTGGCCCGAAAGCATTTTTCATCATGTAGGAAGTCAGAGTGCGAGTTATCTGTTAAGTGTGCAGTGTGAAGTGTTAAGTCGAGTGAGTTGAGGTAGTGTGTGGGTTTCTGTGTGTGTGTATCTATGTCCGAGTGTATATGAGTCTGCGTATGTGTGTGTGTTCGTGTAAGTTGAGGCAGTGCGTGGGTGTCTGTGTGTGATGCGGCCTCCCAAACCCCCCACCGGCGGCCAAGCGGTGACAGCCCAGCTCATCGTCATGAGCATTTGAGCTGCTGGTAAGGGGAGAAGCAGCGTGCACGGCGCCAGGAAAAGCTCACGGAAAAAAACGAGCCGGAATGAAGACAGAAAAGTGCCGAGGCAGGTACGCAACAAGTGTGTCAAAGCAGTGACCTGTCAGAGGAGATGCGTCCAGCGATGTACGATCAGAGGTAACGACGTTTCCTTCACTCCAGGACACTAGCTTTTCTAGGATGTAGTCAACCAACCACTATGCTTGTCATTGATTAAATGACTGTGTCCAAGAAAAACGTGACAAAGTAGCATGAGGTGACACACAGCAGGCACTGTGGATGTTTAGCGTACTCTCGCTGTTCAGCTCGCGACCAGTATTATAGAGTGAACGAAGTAGCGCGCAGGCCACCCAAACCCAGCCCAGCTCATCGTCGTGAGCATTTGACCTGCTGGTAACGCGAGAAGCAGCGTGCACGCCTCCAGGAAATCTCCCCAGTTCTTGACCTCTCGCAAACAGATACTCTGCGTACTAAAGTGGACTACAAAGTCGCCAGTTCTCAGCTTCCAGCTCCACAGATTGCTCCGCGTACTAAAGTTGTACTAGAAACTCGCCAGTTCTCAGCTTCCAGCTCCACAGATTGCTCCGCGCACTCAAGTTGTACTACACACAACGAGTTGATGTTGATTTCAGACGTCTGGACCTTGCGACCAACGCAATGTCTTAATGCAGTCCTGGACGTCCGGGTCCGAACGACAAACATTGCACCAGCGCTTTGTTAGAAATAGACAAAAGCTACTCATGCTCAGGCTACCAAAAAACATCAACTGCGTTCAACGCAATCGTGGTCCATACGAGCTGGACGTCCTGGACTGAACGATCGGTTTGAGAACGGTGCACTGCCTTCCTACAAATGACTTCGATATTTATTCAAACATTCTTTTCTGAGTGTTTTCCAAAATTAACACTGTGAATCAAGAAACAACATGGACAAGCATCAAGACCCATCTGCGCATGGGTCTGCCTTCAAAGTCTTCCACATTGACCAAATTCTCAAGCACAAAAAATGTTGACATTGTTTTCGGCGCATCGGATCGGTGGCCGTTGATGGCCACAATGTCAGGTCTCTCGGTCTCTCGGAACCACCTACATCGCCACCTCTGAGGCACCTCTTCGGCGCGCTCGGCCGGACTCGGACACCAATAAAAATGCCATTAGTTGAGAATGATAAGAATGGGGCCAAGGCGTGCCTTTGAAGAGGTTGCCTGGACAAGGTGTTTTTGGCACCAAAAAAAGCTATTTCAGGCCACCTTTGAGAGGGTCCTGGAAACCTTTTCTCTTGGCCGCGCCCCTGAACTCTGTGGCTTGGCTCTGTGCTATGTGTCCAGGCCTTGTCTTTGCTCACATCCTCCAACTTTTTCTGGTTCTTGTTTGTTGCAGCATGTCTTGTAGGTGGACGAACTGAGCCTGCTCCGCAGCCCCAGAT